AGCACTGGGAATTACTATATAATTCTCATGATAATACCTGTTGGAGTATGGATTTGTTCTTACCCACACTTTCCCTAAGAGAAAACTGGGGCCCAGAGAGGCTAAGTAACGGGCCCACAGTCACCCAGCTAATAAGCGCAGGGCCAGGGGACCACGCCATTCTGCGTCATCGCCTCCACCTGCTCTCTCCTCTAGCATGTACTGGATCTGGGGCTCGAGATGCAGCAGAGAATACTAAAGGTTTTGACGGTGAAATTGTGGCATGTGTTGGGAAGCAGAGCGGACGGTGGAAACCAGTAGATTTTTTTTTTTAACTTCAGCTTGATGGCACAGTCCATTCCTGACAACTGCAAAAACTTCCTGTTATGAGTAAGGGGTCAAGAGTGGCTTATGTTAATTCTATTTCCCCTGATTGAAAAAAGCCCAGGGAATTCCCTGGCAGTCCAGTGGTTAGGACACTGCGCTTCCACTGAAGGGGGCGCGGGTTCGATCCCTGGTTGGGGGACTAATATCCCACATGCCACGTGGTGTGGCCAAAATATTAAAAAAAGAAGAGAGAAAAAAGAAAAAAAAAAAGCCCAGTGTCCCAGCTACTCAGCGGAATGAGCCTCGTGCTCCACAAGCCGCCGCCCCGCGTGGCAGCCGACCCTCAGGCTCGTGTGGCCTGAACGACACTCCGTGGACCTTCACTCATCAGAGAGTTGAGGCTGCGGCGAGAACATCGATTTGGAAAACCAGCTGCTTCTGCAAGATGGCAATCATTTACAGCTGCCCAAGCTGACAAGCAATGCTAGGAGGTGAAATTAATTGCAGATCAAATGACCAAAAATCTTTCTCAATGTTATTAAGGCCCAAAGCCATTTTAATAGACCGTCAAAAATCTCAGTAAGAAGAAAGAAAAAAAAACCCAAAAAACTTGGCAAGTCCTTTTGATAGGCAATTACCTCACAGGGTTGGATGAAATAGTATACGTATATTTGGAAACAAGGTAATAACAGCTTTGGAATGGGCAAGGGATGTACTGAATATTGACTCTGTCAGGACCGTCCAGTGGGCCTTCATACACTTTGAGTTTTGTTTCCATGAGAAATTCTGTAAGGTGGTGCATGAGTTTCCTCTGGCTGCTGTAACAAATTACCACAAATTTAGTGGCTTAAAGAAACACATATTTATTATCTCCCAGGTCTGGAGGCCACAATCTAAAATAGGTCTTAGGGAGCAAAACTCAGTTGTTGGCAGGGCTGCCTCCCTTCTGGAGGCTCTAGGGGAGGATCTGTTCCGTGCCTTTCCCAGCTTCTCAAGGCCGCCTGCACTCCTTGGCTTGGGGACCCTCCCTCCACCTTCAAAGTCAACAATTACACCACCTCCGCTTTTGTCATCACATCTCCTTGTCTGACTACAGCTCTCCTGCCTCTTTTCAGACCCTTGTGATTACACTGGATCCACCGGATAATCCAGGGTAACCTCCCCATCCCCCCAACCATTGATTTCATCACATCTGTAAAGCCTCTTTTGCCGCATAAAATAACATATTCGTGTTTCCAGGAATTAGGACGTGGACACTTGGGGAGCCAGTATTTTGCCTCCCACAGGTGGGTATGGTTATGTACCCATTTTAAAGATGAGCAAATACATTCAGAGATGTTGGTGATTTTCCCCAAACCACTCAGCTGGGAAAAGGCTGATTAGGATTTGAATTCAGAGCCGCCAGGCCCTAGAACCCAGACGCTTTCTCCCCGAGCACATTGTTCCATCCCAGACTCCCAGCTTCACGTTGACTTTAATCTCATGAATTTCCAGCAGCTGGTTTTCCAAATTGATGTTCTTGCTGCAGCATCAACTCAACTAAGGGGTTAGAGTAAATGCTACCATTTTTTTTTTTACCACTTTTTTCCAATGGACGATTCTGCATCTTCAGCTCCTTTAGAAAATAAACTAGGAGGGAATGCAGACTGGGGCCTTGCACACAGGGCCACGGAACAGGCTTTCCTTTACCTGGCTAACTTCTGCCGGCCCTTCAACTCTCAGCCTCCTGGGTCCCTCCTCCAGGAAGCCCTCCTGGACCCCCTCACAGGAGAGCTCATCCCAGCATTGCATGTGGCATGTGTCTGTTTCTGGGTCTTTCTCCTTAGATCATGATAACATCACTGGTGACCTCCAAGCACAAGCAATATATAGGTGCCCTGCAGCTGCCTGTGGCATGGATGAACCCATGGAGGAATGAATCCACCACCAACACTATGAAGCCGCCATCCCTGCTCTGGGCCCACCGAAGGTGCCCATGCCTCTAGAATGCACAGGATCCAAATGACCACGGCCCATCATGATCCAGACTTGAAGGCAGCAGCGGGCGGACTCTTCAGAGGCTGTGACCTCCAGTTCTTAGATCTTAGATCTTAGAAAGGTCCTCTCTTTCTCTCCCAGTCATTTACCTCCTTCCTGGGATTAGTCCTTGAAAGAAGTACTTCATCAAAGACTATCAGCTTTACTGAGGATGATCTACCAGCCAGAGAGTGGGGACCAGAAGCAGGGGTTTCTGGAGTCAGAGAGACCGAGGGTGGAAGCATCCCCACTCCCTCTGTTTGCTCCTCTTTCAAATGGGGCCAATCACCTGACTTCCAGGACTGATGTGCACGTTCCTGAGATCTCAGGTAGAGCACAAAGGGTCTTGGGGAGCAGAGGGGCCCTGATGTTAGCGCTCCCCACGCCCTCAGGTTCTGACCTACTGCTGTGTGATCCTGGGTAAGTCATTGCTTCTGGTCTTGGTTTCCTCAACTACGGAAAGATCGAGAGAGACTCTGCAAAGTCCTGCTCTCTGTGAGAACGTCCATCACAGCCTTATTTAAGATGACAAATAATGGGAACCTTCCTAAATAGAACAAGAATAGTTAACACTCACTGAGTCATATGTCAGTGCCAGGCATTGCTTGCATCACTGTGTCTACTTGTTTAATCCTCACTCCTTCCCTGTGAGGCAGGGATGGTGTCCTTATTATAGAAATGCGGAAATCGAGTCACAGAGCTGTTGAATAACTTATCGGAGTTATGCAGCTCAGAAGGGACACAGCTGGGAACCGATTCCAGGCAGCGTGGCTCTGCCATCCAGGCTCTGAGCAGAGACACTCAACAACCCTACCCCGCAAACAATGGTTAAGGAAATTGCTGTATAGCCAATTTCTGAAGAACGATACAGCTTTCACAACTAGTGCTAATTCAGAGGGGGTGACGATCTACATATGTTTCTGTACATATGTGATACTTCAATAAAAATTTACTCAAACAAATAATAAGATGGAAAATCATTTGGACATAAGTTTATGTGAACAAAAGCAGAGTTAAAATTAGTCTATACATAGGATTACACTGAGTAAGATTTATACAGCCATCGATGTATAGAAAACACAAGGGGCGGGACTTCTCTGGTGGCGCAGTGGTTAAGAATCCACCTGCCAATGCAGGAGACACAGGTTCGATCCCTGGTCTGGGAAGATCCTGCATGCTGCAGAGCAACTAAGCCCGTGTACCACAACTACCGAGCCTGCGCTCGAGAGCCCGTGAGGCACAACTACTGAAGCACGCACGCCTAGAGCCCGTGCTCTGCAACAAGAGAAGCCACTGCAATAAGAAGCCCACGCATCACAATGAAGAGTAGCCCCTGCTCGCCGCAGGTAGAGAAAGCCTGCGTGCAGCAACGAAGACCCAACGCAGCCAAAAATAAATACATAAATTTATGTAAAAAAAAAAGGAAAACACAAGGAGAGATTTTGCCAAACTTATGTGGATAGTATGATTGTAGGTGATTTCTTCTTTGTTTCTATTTTCTGTATTTTACAAATTTACCCTAATGAGCTCATGCTGATTTCTCATAACAAAATACTTTACCAAAAAAAAAAAAACCAAACAAACAAAAAAAGGAAAATCCAAAAAACAAACACTGTAATTTCCCCATGACTTCCGTTCCAGACCGACTGTGATCTCCTGATGATCAATGTAAAAATTAATAATAACAGTTGGGTAGAGTCTATAACTCAAGACAAGAATTTTGAGAAACTTCCAGATTGTGAAACATCAAGATATTGTCTCTCTAACAAAAGACTGTGAGTGGAAGAGGGAGGCAGAACATCAGGTCTCTATGCTCTTATGACATCCGTTTTTAAAAGCATCTTGTTAGAATGCCCCATTAAGAGCAGGGAACAAAATAAAGTGTTCTTTCAGAAATGAGTCAGAAATACAATTGGAAGCCTCTGCCTGTTTGCACTGACGTCAATCTTGTCAGTGCAAATCAGTGAGCAAGAGTGGAAATAAAAGGTCAAGGTAGAAGACATGGGAATAGCTCATAAAGGGCGAAACCAAAGACCAGAGAGGTTGAGTGCATTGTCCAACGTCACACAGCCAAGAATTTCCAGAGCCAGGATTCAACTCCAGTTAGGTCTGTTTGCAAAACCTTTGCAATTTCTGCTAGATTCTGAAATTCCCTAATGTTTTATCCACCCCCCCCACGCCCCCCATATGTTTATTTTACATATCAAAGGTTGAGAAAAAGTGACAAGCTCTACGTCTCTCTTCTTTTGGACACTGTTGCTTATTAATAAGTTACCCTCTTGATGGACTGATGGACTGGAGTGTACTTTCTCCTTTTCTTTGCCTTGCAAACTCCTACATGTTTGGGGTGGTGATGACAGCTAATGGTTTTAAAGTGATGGCAACAGAACTTAGGCTCATATGGGCTCTGATCTGGACTCCCAGGGAGATATGGCCCTCTCTACAGGGTGCTCACCACAATGTGTCATTTGGGACTAAGTGAGAGTTCAAAGAAAAGAACTACTTATTGAAAAGAAGACAGTAGGGAAACAAGATGTAGATAAGAATATTCTCTAGATGGGTGAAACGTCAGTGATAAACTGCATTATAAACTCCCCAAATTCAGACACTTCGGAGTGACAAAGGGCATGTTTCTTTAAATTCATGCGCTTGTTACCTGGGGGTCCCTGCGGCTCTGTTTAACCCCCCATGATGTTCTCAGGAATAACCCTCAGTTTACTCACAGAGAAGATGGCAGCCAAAGTCTCGATGCCACCTGTGCTCAAGGTGATGTATGGGATCTTTTCCGGAGGGATTCCAGCTTTTCCAAAGATACTGTTGGTGTAGAACCAAATCTATAAAGCAGGAGAGAAAAAGAAGGCAGGAGGGTCAGTGAGAGGCATCTATTTTCTAAATTAAATTCAGGTACAAGGTGGTCTCTGAGATTTGCTGCTCAATCCAGAGGCATAAGGTGGAGCTATGCGGCTTGGCCGACCGCTTATTTTCTCCTTTCTCCCACATTTTCCCTTTCTCCAATACTAACAGAATGTCTACATTACTGGGAGCAACATGTGCTCAGCTAAGTGTGGCAATGAGATATGAACAGAACTATTGGTAAGGCTTCCAGGAATTCTCCTTAAAAGGAGATTTTCATGAAAGAGGTGTGATCTCTTCTTTGCCCTTCCTCCTTTCTGCTCTCAGGATGGTGAATGTGATGGCTAGAGCTTCAGCAGCCCTCTTGGGACACTAGGTGACCTCAGGACAGCACTGCTTTTAGCCCCCATGGTAACTTTGTGAGAATTAGATATGGTCCCTGATCCACAAGACATTTTACTGTCATCCACTGGAAACTGTCATAATAAATCTATAATGGGTACAACATGAATGAAGCTCCGGAGAGTTCTGCAACTCACAAGCTGCATAACTATACATAGAACCCTTATGGTATGAAAGCCCCAGTTGAGATGCTGGAGCGGGAAGTTAGAAGGAGACTGTGTGAAATCTCTTGTATTCCTATACACTAATGATGAAAAATATGACAGAGAAATTAAGGAAACACTCCCATTTACCACTGCAACAAAAAGAGAAAAATACCTAGGAATAAACCTACCTAGGTAGACAAAAGACCTGTATGCAGAAAACTATAAGACAGTGATGAAAGAAATTAAAGATGATACAAATAGATGGAGAGATATACCATGTTCTTGGATTAGAAGAATCAACATTGTGAAAATGACTACACTACCCAAAGCAATCTACAGATTCAATGCAATCCCTATCAAACTACCAATGGCATTTTTCACAGAACTAGAACAAAAAATTTCACAATTTGTATGGAAACACAAAAGACCCTGAGTAGCCAAAGCAATCTTGAGAAAGAAAAATGGACCTGGAGGAATCAGGCTCCCTGACTTCAGACTATACTACAAAGCTACAGTAATCAAGACAGTATGGTACTGGCACAAAAACAGAAATATAGATCAATGGAACAGGATAGAAAGCCCAGAGATAAACCCATGCACATATGGTCAGCTTCTCTTTGACAAAGGAGACAAGAATATACAATGGAGAAAAGACAGCCTCTTCAATAAGTGGTGCTGGGAAAACTGGACAGCTACATGTAAAAGAATGCGATTAAAACACTCCATAACACCATACACAAAAATAAACTCAAAATAGATTAAAGACCTAAATGTAAGGCCAGACACTATAAAACTCTTAGAGGAAAACACAGGCAGAACACTCCATGACATAAATCACAGCAAGATCCTTTTTGACTCACTTCCTAGAGAAATGGAAATAAAAACAAAAATAAACAAATGGGACCTAATAAACTTAAAAGCTTTTGCACAGCAAAGAAAACCATAAACAAGACAAAAAGACAACCCTCAGAATGGGAAAAAATATTTGCAAATGAAGCAACTGACAAAAGATTAATCTCCAAAATATACAAGCAGCTCCTGCAGCTCAATATCAAAAAACAGACAACCCAATCCAAAAATGGCCAGAAGACCTAAATAGACATTTCTCCAAAGAAGATACACAGATTGCCAGCAAACACATGAAAGGACACTCAACATCACTAATCATCCGAGAAATGCAAGTCAAAACTACAATGAGGTATCACCTCACACCAGTCAGGATGGCCATCATCAAAAAATCTACAAAGAATAAATGCTGGAGAGGGTGTGGAGAAAAGGGAACCCTCTTGCACTGTTGGTGGGAATGTAAATTGATGCAGCCACTATGGAGAACAGTGTGGAGATTCCTTAAAAAACTGAAAATAGAACTGCCATATGACCCAGCAGTCCCACTACTGGGCATATACCCTGAGAAAACCATAATTCAAAAAGAGTCATGTACCACAGTGTTCATTGCAGCTCTATTTACAATAGCCAGGACATGGAAACAACCTAAGTGTCCGACAGATGAATGGATAAAGAAGATGTGGCACATATATACAACGGAATATTACTCAGCCATAAAAAGAAATGAAATTGAGTTATTTGTAGTGAGGTGGATGGACCTAGAGTCTGTCATAGAGAGTGAAGTAAGTCAGGAAGAGAGAAACAAATACTGTATGCTAACACATATATATGGAATCTAAAAAAAAAATGTTTCTGAAGAACCTAGGGGCAGGACAGGAATAAAGACACAGACATAGAGAATGCACTTGAGGACACAGGGTGGGGGAAGGGTAAGCTGGGATGAAGTGAGAGAGTGGCATGGACATATATACACTATCATATGTAAAATAGCTAGCTAGTGGGAAGCAGCCGCATAGCACAGGGAGATCAGCTGGGTGCTTTGTGTCCACCTAGAGGGGTGGGATAGGGAGGGTGGGAGGGAGGCACAAGAGGGAGGGGATATGGGGATATATGTATATGTATAGCTGAATCACTTTGTTATGTGGCAGAAACTAACACACCATTGTAAAGCAATTATACTCCAATAAAGATGTTAAAAAGAAAAAAGAAAAGGAGGAGACTGTGTCCATACTCACTAGCGTGATTCAAACCTGGGCATTTTGGAGTGTGTTAATAATGATTCCAGGATAACAGGCATAAATAAGGAATGCCCTCTGCAGACCACCGTGCGTGGTCCTGGGTCCCCTGTACCAGCCCTCCTAATTTCCTTCATGTGAGAGAGAAGACCTATATTGTTTAGATCACTGTTGAGGCTTCTGCCACATGAGGCCAAACCTAACCCTAACAGATACTCACAGGGCATCCGACAGTGACTGATTTGGAGTTTGGAGACCTGGCTGCATCTTGAACTACCTGTTTGACCTCAGGCAATTCCCTCTGCCTTGCTGAGATTCCTTCTCCTCCTTGTCAAAAGAGGATAACCACACCCTTCCTGGGAGATGTCAGGAACTGGGTAAGTCACTATTCATTGATCTAAAGTTTTGGATCGATAGGCTGAACATAAATCATTTGTGTCCTCCCAATCCTAGCCATTTCTTTGAAAAGCAAGAGTTTGCTGAATGATAGAAAACCATGCAGTCTTGATACATGAAATCTGACAAGAAAACGTGCTGCCTTGAAGGGCTTTGGGAACATTTATAAACTGATCATCGTTAAGCAGAAACATTAGGGCTTGTTGCTTATAACTTGTCAGGCTCGACTGTAGCTGGGTGTGTTCTCTGCATCTGGTTCTTTGTTTCTGGAGAAAGGTCTTGTTTCTACAGATTTGTATTTTTACCAGCATTGGTTGGAAAAAAACCTTCCACACATTGGGGGAGAAGTTATAATTTAGGACCTACTCATATCTACAGATGGTTTTGCCAGCTAAAGAATGTCACTCGCCACCTGGCTCTACAAGGGTTAGGTCATTAGCCACTGCAGTCATTGACCTTCAACACACCCTGAAAGCAGTTCAGGGCGGAGGTCAGGAATGAGACACTCTGTGCTCTGGGAAAACTGGCTTTCAGATAGATGTTTTTGAAAGAAAATTTTATGAACCCAATATCTTGCATTTTCTCATACTTAGAAAAGCACTAAAATCATTGACGAGACATATGCTCCTTGTGGCTAGCAGCAACCTTCTACTGAGATGTGTGCTTGATTGTACGTACCCCCTTCACCAAAATCATATATACTGATCTCCCCCGCTACCTCTTTGGAGCAGTTCTTCAGAGCTATCTGAGAGGCTGTTTCTTGGGCTATAGCCCTCAGTAAGCCCCCAGTAAAGCTGAACTCACAGCTCTCACTTCGCATTTTTTTAAATTCAAAAGTTTATTTTTTAGTAAATCAGTAATTCTTCATAAAGTTATAGGCACACCCAGAGACTCCAGTAAAAACTACTGCATGAATTTTTCTGAGCTTGTGGGCGTTGATGCATTTAGTGGCAAAAATTGGTTTTAATACTCACATAAAACAGGGACTTCCCTGGTGGCGCAGTGGTTAAGAATCCGCCAGCCAATGCAGGGGACACGGGTTTGAGCCCCGGTCCGGGAAGATCCCACACGCTGCAGAGCAACTAAGACCATGCGCCACAACTACTGAGCCTGCGCTCTAGCTCCTGCGAGCCACAACTACTGAGCCTGTGAGTCACAATTACTGAAGCCTGCGCACCTAGAGCCCATGCTCTGCAACAAGAGAAGCCACCGCAATGAGAGGCCTGCGCACCACAATGAATAGTAGTCCCCGCTCGCCGCAACTAGAGAAAGCCCGTGCGCAGCAATGGCTTGCAGCAACGAAGATGTAACGCAGCCAGAAATAAATAAGATAAAATTAAATATTATTTAAAAAAATATTCACGTAAAACAAAGACTCTCCTGCTTGTGTCTGCCTCTCATTTGAATGAGCTGATAAATTAGAATTTTAGACTCTATCTTTGCTGTCATGTCCATAGAGTACGGAAGTAGCTCCTGATAATTCATTAATTCCTAAAGCTCTTAGGGCTCTGACAGAAGCTAAAATAATTCCAAAATGCCTTAGTCTCCACTGGATCTGTTTATATGATCTCTTCTCCTTTTGAAGGTAACTGATTCCCCAGCACACCTTCAGGGTTGGATCAGAAGAGTTTAGCTGCCTTTCTTACTCTTTGCCCAAATTCATGGATTTTCAACAGTCAGTGATCTCTCTGGGCCCTTTCCACCCCCAGCTGCCCTGCTGCAAAGGTGGATCTGACATTTGTATCATTCTCAGCCTCAGCTCTGAACCCCACACCCTGACCTGCTCACATTCCAGAAGCTTCCAGCCTCTGATCCCATGTGATATGTGTTCTCCGTGGAAGCTATGTTCCGGCCTCCTGCGTGGTGCTCCTTCCTGGCTTCTCACACCCCTTCCAACCCCCTTTCTTCCCTGCTTCCAGCTCTCCCTTGTAGCAACACTGCCAGGAGCATCCCTGA